TTTAGTGACGGAACACGATGATGGCTGAAGAGAGAGAGAACGTCCTGAAGTGTCCAATGGCTTTTTTGATCGAGACTAATGAAGCTTTCGATGATATTAACTCATTGCAAAAATTTCACTGATTTAAGTATAAGAAGAATGATTATCTTTTTCCAAGTCGAAATTTAAAATTCGATTTACTCGAACTTTCTCTTAAAAATTCAATATCTCATGAACAAAGAGTTGCGACAACCGAACTTTCTTACGCTTTTATACTACTCACTATGGTCTCTCACCTGAATATAGAGTCTCGATGGAGCATTCGGGAATGTTCCCTCATCAACTCCGTTCAAAAATATGATGTTCCTGTATTGTATACCTTCTTTTCGACTTAAAATGAAGGCTGATCTCTTCCTATACATTATTTTCGAACTCCAATCAATAGTTTTCCCCCCTGTGTGAATACTTGAATTATATGGAATTGACAAATGAAATTTATTTTATTGTTCAATGAAAGATGAGATTTTTCTTATGTTTATATGGTTGCCTACTTGAATGTGAATATTGAAAAGGTCATCATTCAATTTATGTTTATGAAAATATTTGTATAGACATAGACGAAATTTTTGTTTTTTTTTTTAGTGCTTTCAATTCTTTTACATTGAATTGTTTTGCTTGACATAAGATGAGAAGGAAGACAATTGATTATCTTAAAAATTAAAAAGTGAAAATATAATGTTATGAAATGTTTTTTTTTTCTTTAAAACGAAAAACAACAATAACAAAATTAAATTAATTTTAATGAAGATCGTAGATTATGAAAAAATAACAAATTTTTAAATGAAAAATTTGCAAGCGAAACGAATCATTATAAATGTTTGGATAAATACAAATAGCACAACTATATTCATTCAATCTCTAATTAAAAAGTATAGCCGTATAATGTTCTGTATTGTTCACTTTTCTTATACATTCTAATTATACGTTTCAATTTTCTTTTAACACATCACTGCGATAAATTGAGTGTATCCGAACATCTATTTTTTATATATATATTAAATACTATCCTATATGTGCATTATATGATATAATTCATATTGACCTTACACATCACTAGAGATAGAATGTTAAATTTAAGTGTAGATCAATGCTTTAGAAGTGATAATAACTTTAATGTTCGATAGTTTTATCGATGACTGTTCTGCTTTTCTTTTTTTTTTTTCTTCTTTTCAATAATTTATTAGTTCAAATAATCATCTATATATTTTTCTGAAATAACAATTTTTTTTTTATCATACAAAATTAATATTTTCTAAAATAAATATAAAGTGGGCTTTGAAAAAGGTATGGTTGTAGATGGCATGAGGATTCGGTCTCGCTTTCTGCCATACCCGCGCTTTCCGGAGCATTACAAAACTGGCTTCATACTAAATAATATATGATTGAAGGAAAATAAATCTTTGTTCTTCTAGTTCACGAGATTAATTAAAAATTCTGAAAGTTTCGATACATATGGTTTATCCAGGAAGAGTACAATGGCGCTACGGTTTTTTCTGAAATCCAAACGATTTCTCTTTGCATCTCCATATGTCTTCCGGAGAGTCCGTGTGCACAACTTTTTCTATTTCTTTGAACAGAGTATCAAATGACGATTATCATAATTTTTCATGCTGAAGCAGCATCACCTTCACAAGTAAACAGGACGAGTCAGGATGAAAAAAGCGAAAAATTCTGTACTTTTTGGTATTTCGATCGTATGTCAAAGCTATGTTTCATAAACGTGGGTGTAGAGTACGTGTAGGTGTGATTGTGACTGAAAAGGTCATCCACACCCATCGGATTCATGCATCTCATTAATCATATTTTTCTAGAGTCAATCTGCCAATGAAAAAAAGTCAGAAATTAGACACTAGTAAAAAATTCTTGTAGGTTGAAGAATCAATACTTCTCACTTATTTTTCGCTCCACGAACTAAGTTTTAATAAACTATGCATAAGAATGTAGCATATTAAATACTCTATATGTAACTATATCAGTTTTTATATGTTTACCAGAGCGTTAGATATCATTTTCAGAAATCATCCATGAACTCGATTCTTTGGGATTATTTATTCAAACTATATCGGATCACAGCAACTTAGCAGAAAAAACTAATAGTTTGGTATCAAAACTAAAAGTGAATTTACCTTTCGATACATCATTGAGAAGAGCATTCTCGTTGTTCAACCATCAAAATAATAAACGTACTTAATATCTTATTACTATTCTTTGCTGTTTTTTTTAATAATCTTAAATGTATCTCTAACTCCATGTCATATGACTATTGACATTTAAGATCAATTAATGATTATTTCATTCGATGAATCTTCATTTCCTCATCATCAGGTGAACTATATTTTATTATCTTTTGAAGAGATATTTATTAAGATATGAACCATTTGCTATGAGATCAAACTTATTTTGACATGACGATCGATAAAAAATTTCTGGAGATTCTTGAAATTGTTGACGTATTTGAATAAGTTTCATATATTGCAATAGATCAAATGATCTATAATATAATTAAAATTTTGATCAGTTATGTGTAGTTCGACTTTGAAATAAAAGAATATTAATTTACGAATCTTTTACTGATATCTTTACAAAAATTTGCTCAAATTCTGAATGAATGAATAATGATACTTCTATTGTCTTCATAGTTGTCACATCTGTATCTTTTATAAGCAATTTTTATTTCTAAAAATAAATCACGAAGGAAAAGTTACATGTCAATTTCTAATTATCAATAAAGTCAATTAAATGAGTTAAACATTTAATGATACGTGTGTTCTAGTTGTTTCTCATTGTCGAACTCATTTTATATACTCTATACAGCAAAGTGAAAACAAAGTGTTCTGTGATACTGATCGATTCAAATGTTTGTTTTCATATACCAAACGGAAAACTATGAATAGCTGAAGGTACAGAAGTATTCATATATAAGAAAGAATTCAATGAGTTGTGAATGAGAGATTTCAACACTTTCATTGCCATTGTTTCCTCCTCCTAGCGTTAATTTATAGAACCCAATACTGTTTATATTTCTAATTAGTCTGTAACGACATGGGCGTGGGTGTAGAGTGTGGATGTGTGTGCGCGGGACTTCCTATTTATTCCCACCAGCATCCACATCCAAACTATGTAGGACCTGTGAGGGAATAGTGATCTGATTATCTAAAGTTAATGAAGCAATGGAAGCTATGATGTCTGTAGACTAGAGTTCTGCAAGCGATTGGAACGGACCAAACAACAACTTGGACGAATCCAATCGGTTCGAATAGAAATATAGGTTTATAACACGGTGCGTAGTCTACACTGAGTTCGATTGAGCCAATGAAAAATCAATGAGATGAGAGATGCCTCTTGATTATATTTTTTCTTGTATTTGACTAAGACATCATAAAACAAAAAACTGTTCAGCTAATCATAGCCAAAACAGTCCCAATCCTCTATTGAGTTACATTCATCGGACACGACATGTTTTCTTGACAGATCTCCATGCAAGACAACGAATCGATTCAAGACTGTGTGATCAGGCCATACGAAATCGTAATTGAGTTGTTGATTAGCAATGAGACGTGCGCAGAGGCATTTGAGCCGTGATGGTCTTTGTTTTGATTGTAATAGAGAACGAATTTCAACCATCATGGCTGCATCAGCTGGCGTTTCGTCATAGTTATTGACACAGTCGATATGAGCTCCGGCATTGATCAGAAGCTCAATGATCGTTATTGCATTCACACCAGTAACGCTGCTAGCGATTCGATGTAGAGCTGTATCTCCTTGAACTCGATCCACAGCATCCAAATCAATCCATCGACGTCCGTAATGTAGAAGGAGCCGAGTTGCTTGCGTATTGGGAAAACTAAATAAACAATTGTTAAATACGGTGAAATCTAAAGACTGATAGATAGGTGGTTCAGACAGATGATATAAGAAAATCCATCTAACTTGTTTTTTGAAGACCAACTGTGTTCATCGATGTTAGACAAATGGTCGGAATTCTTTTCTTATCTCTCCTACAGATAACGAGACTTTCACTATATTACGCAGAAACATCCTGGTTACATCTACTAATGCATGTAATAATCTCTGTAACTTGTTCTTGTCAATGACTTACATAAGAATGGATTGAATGTCTTTCATTTTGAAATTGATATATCTATATGTTCGATCGCTGACACTCATATGGAGCAGTGTTTGATCACTGTCTTCTGTGATCGGTTGTTCACGGCATAAACATTGAATCCACTGAAAAATTGAATGACGCTCGGCACTATCAATAATGTCTTGTTCTAGGAGCTGTTAACAAAAAAAAAGCAAAATGATGAGTCATTTTGTAATCATGAATAGTCTAAACGAGATAATGCAGGTTTGTATGTGATTTAGAAACAGCATCTGCAGTCAAAACAATTACATACGGAAAGTATGGTAATGGATATTGTGAATTCATTCTCTTCCGCGATTTTCCCACGAAATAGAAAGTAATGACTTTTATGCTGGTCAATGAACACAAGGAAAGTTTTGTCTCTTGCTGTTTCGAATTTTGATCTCTGTCATCAGTTGATTCCGATACATAAACCATTCAGACAGAAACTTTCCTCGATAAAATTACTTGTCTTACTCTATTATTTACAGTAATTTGTTTTTTTTTACGAACCCTGGTATAACTCAAATAATAATAGTGTATTCCTATCTTCAAAATCGATAACAATTGCCAGAACGATCGATCGATTTACAGAACCATTCTTGAATAATGTAACGGGTAGTATTCGATAGTTAATATTGATCAAAAACATAGTAAAAAAGAGCAATAGAAAATCACTACTAATCGATGAAGTACTGCGACAGAGTCCGTTCATCTGATAAATTGTTTTTCTATTCGAAAAAACATCCAAAACCGGTTTTTTCCCCTCATAACTAAACAATAGACTTGAATATGATAGAAAGATCCTAAGGATCTTGTCAGAGACATATAAGTTCTACGTTACCTTTGCTGCAATTGCTACGAGACATAAAGCTGTTGCTAGACTTTCGTTTGTGAACTTCTGTTGTGATGATTGGAAGGTGAGATAACATATTGCTAAGAATTGATCAACAGGAATGGGTATTCCAGCAGCGAGCATTCGACAGAAAAGCCAAACGAAACTTTGAAGATTAGTTTCCAATTCCATTCGTTGATACAATTGAAAAATGTGAAACCACAGGTTGAAGCATTGATAGAATTCACCTCGCTCAACAAGTACGAATCCTCGTTGATATAATGGTGAAAAGAATGTTTCTTCCTTTTCTGGTAAAAGAATACGTTCTCGAATGAGTAATGCCTCAAGATACAATCGATCAACATTATATTGAATCTGATCAAATTCATCGATCGATTGACATTCTTGCTGGAATTCATAGGCTGAAATCGGTTGCGCAACTTCTTTTGGGATATTCAGCAAGACACGCTTTATGAGTGACTGTTTTAATAAAGTACGCATTCGATCTGATGGTTCACGCTCGTCGAAATGCCAAACTGAGATCATATATGAAGAAGCTAATAATTCGAGCTCATTGAAACTGGCCTCATCATTATTGTATCCCAATAAAAAATCAACGATACTCGAGTGATTATTTTCAGCTGCCAATCTCAATACTGTTTTTCCATTTGAATTTTTTGTTTTTGGAGAAAGACCAGCATTGCATAAAACTCGTACACAATCATAATGGCCGTTTTCAGCAGCTCGATGTAAGGCACTGCTCACACCGATACTTTGTCTGATGTCTTCTTCATCGCCTTTTAAAAGAAAATAAATTACAATATCTGTGTGACCTAAACTAGCAGCCAAGTCAAGATAAAGATAATGAGAATCATTAGTTATTTTTTGTCTTTTCGTCGTGGCATAATCATTCTCAACTAAAAATCGTATAACATCGAGTCGTCCAGTCTCAATGAAATAATCGAACAGTGAATGATTCGGACCACAGTATATATCGGCCTTGCCTTCATTGATCAAAATAGATGCCACGCCATAATGTCCTTGATCTAAAGCACACCATAATGCAGTAACGTTATTGATTAAATCTCCATTGATGTTGTATACATTTCCTCGAAGTTCCACTTGTTTTGGGCTTGAATCCCAAGAAAGTAATCCACGTACGAAATCTTCGGATCCGTAAAGAGCAGCAAGCATGAGTATACTTACATGCCCTTCATATCGTAATTCTACCACTTGCAGAGCCAATCTAATGTAGGACATTTGTATCAGACAAGTACGAAGCTCAGCCGGTTCATTTCGTCGAATCACTTCGTAGAGTTCGTCAGGAATAAAGAAAATGTCTTTGTCGTATGATAAGTAACTCATAGTGTTCGAAGATGATGCAATGAATGTCGCGTGTGAAGCATAAGCTCAAACTAAGTTTTTGCCAATGAAAGGAATGAAATTACGCAACTTCATTCGATGGATGACGGCATATACACAATGATTCATCAAACGTGCATGAAGTAGAACAACAAATCGAAGCAAACAGAAACACAAGTTGGTTTATTCCAGCTTTTGTCTACGAAGGAAAATTTTCTTTTACACTCTAAAAATTGATGATTAATATTCTTCATCGATCGAAACAATTCTTGGATGTAAGTGTGGATATGGGTGTGGCGTGTGAGATGTCACATGTGGACGCTGTACATTTCTCACACACACACTCACACCCACATCCTTATTTGTCAATCGAATTTAATCATACATATCTAAGATAAGTACTTTTATGGACGTATGAACGCTTCACTCTAATTCTTTATGATTTTCGTTGATTTCTTCCATTCAGAAACGATGAAGTTATCACGAAGATAGAGCCACATCAATGAAGTAAAGTTTAAACTCTTATATAAATTGTTTTAAATTGAGATAATGAAACTACATCAGAAATCGATCAAAACTTAAAAAGTTCATTTTAATTGATAAAAAAAGAAAAAAGATCGATTTTGATTCAAAACGTATAACGATAATCAAAAGACACATTGAACTTCATCAAAAAATGCTACACTTAATCAATTTTTTCTGACTTGCATTTAAATAAATGATTGCAGTATATGTAACATTTATAAAATGCTGGTTTTTACTTCCCTTGTCTTTCGATAACCAAACAGAAAAGAAAATCTATGCTTTAATATATATACATATAATTGTTGATTTGAGTAATATTTCATTACCGAAGAATTTTAACGTCGATACGATACGTACCATCCAACTCTGTATAAAGAAGCGATTTCTCACTCAGATGTATGTGAATATGATTTCTTTCTGCTCTTTCAAACATGAATACGATTGATTCAAAAGACTGAAAGAAGTATACATAATGTTTATACCATGTTGGTTTTTACTTTCTTTAGTTTTTGATAAACAAAAAAATAGCAAACAAGAGAATATATGCTTTTACCGTATATATAAGTTTCTCTCTGAATGGTAATTCATTATTAAAAGTTTTTAACGTCGACACAATATAGCTACATATACCTAAACAATTTCTCAAGTAAGTGTATACGAAAGTGATCTATATCTTTCTTCAAGAGTGAATATGATCCATGTAGTTGAGTAACTTACTAATCTGACTACCAATCCGGATAACCAGTATTTGGTCATGGGTTCGATTCTCGATTGAAGCATATTTTTTCAAAGGAAGTAAAAAAACAATATTTTATAAACATTACATATACTTGTTGCTGTCCTTCGAACCAGTCGTATGCACGTTCGAAAGTGTAGAAAAATCACTTTCATATATGTTTGGCTGAAAAATTAATTCGTTGTTTATAGCAGCATCATACATGTCTTATCAATAACTTTCGGTAATTAAATAGGATTCAGAAAGAAAATTATATGTTCGCTGTGCTTCGAAAGTTCAACATTTAAAGCCCTGCTCTAGAGAGTCAATACTTCGTCAATGGTACAATTTTCGGTTGAAGTATAGTTTTTACTGTTTGTTTATGGGAAGTGAAAGGAAGTAAACAAAAAAGTAGTATTGTATAAGCGAAGAATACTCTATGTAATAAGACAAACTCGAAAATGGATCTGAATAGTTCAGAATTGTTAACATGACGCCTCACAATCACGATATCGAGAAAAATTTCAATGTTTAGAAATTAGCATCAGTATTTCTCACTCATTATTTTTCAATAATACCATACCAAGAATAGCGTATTGAACTTATGTACTTCTGTTTCGTTAAGAATGAACAAGAAATGGAAACATTCTTTTCAAAATCGTTTCAATCATCTCAAATCGAACTATCCATGACAATAATGCACATTAAAAAGATATTTGTTGCTTCTTACTACATAGAGAAAAACAGTTGATTTAATGAATTGTATCCTTCGATAACAAATATTGCTGAATGTATTATGAGTTCAGCATCAGAATACTTTCTCACTAATCGAGTGTCAATAGTTCTTCGTAGCTTTCTCAGCTTGCAGTTACATTTGAATAATGTTTAATTAAGTCTCACTAATATCATTTGCAGTATTTTTTCCTATTACTATATCCATACATATTGATGAGAAAATCGATTCATGTTATAAAATCTAATGATTGCGTCTAAGCAGTATCTAGATGAAACTAGTAGAATTTGAACATCTTATCTGATAATCGGATCAAAATTAGTTTTCTCCAATAAGTTATTTAAGTCATACTAATACACATATGCATTTATCTTTCTAAGATATTTATTATTTCAATTAGACTAACACGAAACCAATATTCTTTAAGTACTTTTAGAATTACTATCTATCTGTGGAATTTTGAAAAGAACTTAATGGCTTCACGAGAATGGCTTGCTAAAATTTGGATATGGTTGGTAACAAGGCTTGATGCTATTACTAGAAGGAAAACTGTAAAAACATCGGAATCACCTTCTACCGTGGCTGAAACATCATTCGAAGAATTTTTGGAAAAGTTACGACGAGACCCTTGCTGCATTGGTGATTACGACCTTCACGATATATTATACCGACAAACCAAAGTAGAGTGGCCATAATGGTATTTAAATATTGAT